AGTGAATGACATTGCATTCTAGGAGCCGAGGTCCCTAGGACCATCAAGGGAGAAGAACAGAGAGCGGGACCCTACCCAGAGAAGCAGTGACGCCAGAGATGGAGGCAGAGACAAGGACATGGAGAGATGGAGCAGCTGGGGACTTTAGATACAGAGAGGGAGATGGGCTATGTACTGACAACCGGAGGACAGGCTTGCAGGGTATACCCTTTGGTTGGTTGATGATGCATGGAGGGAACTGTAACCATGGCAATGAAACGATAACGATAGGATGAATGGAAAACTAATGTTCTCTCATTTAAACTATCACATAATTCACAATAAAACATTTAAAAAAAAAAGAAAGTGAAGCGGGCTTAAAATACTTACTGATAAAGATCATAGACCACAGCCTTCAATATGGGTTGTTCCTCAATGTAAAGAAAACAAAATCCTCACCACTGGAATAATAAATATAATAAGTGGAGAAAGATAGAAGTTGTCAAAGACTTCATTTTGCTCAGCTCCACGATCAACACTCATGGAATCAGCAGCCAAGAAATCAAAGGACATATTATTGCATCAAGCAATTCTGCTGCCCAAGACATCTTTTAAAGTGTTCAAGAGGACAGATGTCAGAGAACTAAGGTGTGCTTGACCCAAGCCATGGTACTTTCAATAGCCTCATATGCATGTGAAGTTAGACGATGAATAAGGAAGATCATAAAAGAATTGATGTATTTGAATTATGGCACTGGAGGAGAATATTAAAGGTACCATGGACTGCCAGAAGAACAAACCAATCTGTGTTGGAAGAAGTAGAACTAGAATGTTCCTTAAAAGCCAGAATGGCCAGACATCGTCTCTCATACTTCAGACATATTACCAGGAAGGTCTAGTCCCTAGAGAAAGACATCATGCTTGGTAAAGTGGAGAGTCAGTGAAGAAGAGGAAGAACCCCAACAAGATGGATTGGAACAGTGACAGCTGTCTGTAATGCGCTCAAGCGTGGCAATGATTGTAAGACTGCTGCTGGACCAGGCAGTGTTTTTTCTGTTGTGATTTGTCGCTATGAGTCGGTTCTTACTTGATGGCACCAAACAACGATGATTTGTCAAAAGGATATCTAATCCACTTTTCCACCTCAGTTGTCTATAAGACAGTTCATGTAAAAACAGATTTCACATCTTAAAGCTAAAATAAAAAATAGCCTCAACAGATTTATAAATTAAATGATTATTGCATTAAAGAGCATACGAAGATACTGTTAAGAATCACTGAAATGTTCTGTATTTTGATTGTGGTGGCAATAACACAGATAAATATTTTTTTCAAAATTCACTGAACACTTAGAGTTAATAAATCTACATACTATTGATGCAATATTAATTTCTAAAATCAAACTAGAAAATGTAAATTATATCCTAATAAATTTATTTTAGAAATTATTATTACATAGAGACATTAGAAGCATTTTAAAAAGATCGTTTACATACAGTACCTACAAATTCCACAGTTTTCACAATGATACTGCTTCTTGTCTTTGTCAAAAAGATGGCATATACTACAATAATATTCACCAAACAATGTGCTACATTCTTCACAAGTCTGCTGGGCCTACAAAAAGACACATGTAATTAAAAATTGGAACAAATTTACCCAAACATTTTGAATCAACATTTGAATATCCAGAATGTATGTTAATGTATATGCAATTGTATAATAGGTCTTACTTGACTAAATTTTTTTCAGACCACTTTAGTAAAACAAAAACAAATAAAACAGAAATGTCATAAAATCTTACATGTTGAATTTTTTCACAGTTCATGCACTGCACTTCCTTTACTTTAAAGCGGTCTAGTTGATGATCTTCGTTGTTATCATGACACAACCGGCAAGTATAAAGTTTGTCACAGCAAGGCGCCTAACCCACAGGGAAGAGAAATGGTTATAAGAAGACAAAGAAGATAAGCTTGTAATACCAGAAGAAAATTTCTTCCTTCTCCTGAAACAGGTCCAAGATCAGCACCCATGGATCGGTTAAGAAACTGATCCTAAACATAACACTGCACTATTTCATGGCATACCTTATATAGTGACTAGCCCCCTCAGTCTCTATACAGCATCATGAAGTTGAGTACCTTGTCTTTAAAGATAAAAAGATTATGAAGAATGGAAATCCCTAGCCTGAAAACTAATCCTGCAACACCCTAATCTCATTCTCAGTCCTAATTGCCAGGTAGGAGTGCTCTTCTTGGATATTTCCAGATAAATTCATTTATATATTTACAAACTTAAACATTAAAAACTTATAAAGTGACTTCTGGTTCTGGCAGTGGCTGAGGCACAGTGCAGTAGGGCAGGTTCCATGGGGGAGGGACTCAGAGAAGCTTCTTTCACTGAGCAGCACCAGAGTTCTGGATCTAGCATTAAGGTTCAGGGTGCTGGTTTCCCACACATGCGATTTAGGAAACACTCGAGGCACGGGACTCCCTCTGTGGCCACCCCGCCCAGGTGGAGTTCAGAGGGCAGGGCTACAGGCAGACTGGTACAGGGAACCAGCGCTAAAAGTGTGCAGTGACATTTGCAAAAGGAGGTGAGGGGGGATTCCACAAATTTTTTCCTCCTCTTCCCTTTCGTGCCTTCTTTGCCCAACCTGGACACCTTCAGGCGAGTGGGTGCAAAGCCCACAAAAAAAGTTCAGCATTGAGCACACAGTTTTTCCCATGACACAGAGAGAAAGAGTCCTATCGGTCCCAAGGGCAAATTCTTTGGCGGCTGCTTATAACATTGCACCCCTACAATTAACTTGTGCAGGACCCTTTACTCCAGCAAATCCAGCAAGAAAAAAAGCAAACCTCTCAGGCCTGACAGACAAACAATATGAACAATCTGTAAAACCCCAACATAAAAGGACACAACTACCTAGAGAATTATGGTGTGCACATGCAGATACCTAACTGACCTTCAGAGACAAAAATAGTAGACAATCTTTCTCCCATTAACTTCTCAATTATCTGTCTGCATACCTCTACGGTGGTGGCTAGACGAGGGGCCTGAGAGGTCACCCTCACACACTGTTGGAGGCATCTACAGTACACACACACTGCCTGTGTAGCAAAGCCACTGGACAGTCGGCCACAGTTTTATTTTTATTTCAAAGTGGTGGTTTTTGTCTCTGCTTTTATATTTTGCTTCTGCTTTTGGTCCTAATCATGCATTTTTTCCTGAAGGTGGGAGCTTTCACTCCCTACGTTACCCAGGAAGAGAGAGCAATCATGGCCATTTAGCCAAGCTACAAGCATACTCCATAATATTCCACCATTGAGACAAGAGCCAATAACAGGTGATAAGCATTACAGGTGAAAAGGAAAGTCTATCTCCTGTTCACATCCACCAGGAGACAATCAGTAAGCTTAAAAACACAGCAACAAACATCCACGTAAGTATTAAAAAACCACATAACTACTGGAAATGACAAACAAACACAACAAAATATCTCAAAACATGTCTAAAAACAGAAAAGAGTAACTTAGACAAATGAGCTGGAGACAGTCAAAGGCTCTCCAGAAGAGGAGGAACAGGTTTTGGATTTCCAGAGAAGAAATTCAGAAGAATGATATGGAAACAAATTCAAATGCTCTGAAAACGGGTGGAGGAAAACAAGGAAGAAGTCAGGAAAGTACTATAAGAGCAATGAAACAAGACTGATACAGCATTGGAAACAATTCAAAACGTGCAAAAAGAGTTCCAGGTGATTAATAAAAGATCAGAAATGGACAATACAATGAAGGGGGAAAGCAGCAGAATGGAAGAGATGGAAGCCAGATCCAGCGCGCTGGAAGACAAATCTCTCAATACGCTAAGACATAGAAGAGCAAGCAGAAAAAGGATTAAAGAGTCTGAAGAGACCCTAAGATTCATGCTGGATAACGTGAAGAGTAACAAGTTAAGAATTATTGGCATTCTGGAAAAGGAAGAATCAGAAGTCCACAGAGGAGATAGTTGAAGAGCTTCTGGAAGACAATTTCACAATATATTGAAAGATAAGAAGATAAACATTCAAGAAGCCGAACGTACCCCAGGAAGGATACACACCAGAAGAAAATCCCGAAGACATATAATAATCAAGCTCTCCAAAATCAAAGACAAGGAAAGAATCCTAAAAGCAGCCAGGGAAAAAAGAAGTGTTACTTACAAAGGCAAGAAAATCAGATTAAGCTCTGACTTCTCAGCAGAAACCATGCAGGCAAGAAGGCAATGGGGAGACATATACAAAACCCTAAGAGAAAAATACTGCCAACCAAGAATCGTCTAGCCAGCACAAAGGCCAATCAAGTGAGAAAGAAGAAAAGAAAAAAAAAACACAGTACTAGCGTTCCTTTCAAGCACACAAATTAAAAGTTCCACACATGACTTCAATTCACATCTTCTTGACCAGAGGTTTATCACCTGGACACACCTAGTAAGCCACAAAGAACCTTAGGAAATGTGGTCTATGGTAAGTTATCATTTTCTTATACCATATTTTCATGACTTTGTTGTGTAACTGCTCAAAGTACACTGTTTCATCAGTAATATTTCTAAGAAGGATGGCTATCTCCAATGCACCACAAAGTGTCTGCTACTAATTACTTCTTCCCCCAAAACTGACTTCTCTTTGTGGGACTAAAGAAAGACTCAATATCATCAGACAAAACAAGGCCAGGATTCCACTGTGGAACAGACCATCAGTTGTTCCAATACAAGTTCAGGTTGAAACTAAAGAAAATCAAAACAAGTTTACAAATCCCAAAGTCTGACCTTAAGTATTATTGTTGCTATCATTGTTGTTGTTGTCAGGTGCCATCGAGTTGGAACCGACTCATAGCAACCCCCATACACAGCAAAAC